GGATTTAATTGGGATTTTCCCTAAATAAAAATGGAATGGCGTGTATCTATGTGCATGCATATGCATATTGATGACAGTATTTTGGCTGGGGTTGTCTCTTATCTTAGTGCGTGACAGTGACGAGACCTTGCTCCAAAATACTCGTCGTCGTTTATTTGTATTCATATTTGCTTTTTGGAGCTGCTCATTATAAATATGTTCACATAAATCAAAATAAAATTTGTTTTATACAAAAAGAAATTTCAGTATAAAGCACCTAATGTTGCGTCTCACTCTCACGTAGGAAAAACTTGATAGATTTTGTTTTTGCTATATATAAGTATTTTCTTATTGAAAACAATTATATTCGAAGTACTATCAGTATTGAATATAGACACTCCTCTCAAACCTTAGCTTGATAAATTTTAAATCTCAAATATTAGTTCAATTTCATATTTATATTTTTGGATTATGCTTTTTGTTTACATTCACCTCCCTCATTTGGATGTTTATTTGTTTCCAACTAGATTTTTGTGCGTGTTAATTATTTTTTACTAATAATTTTGGTAGTGTGATATTGAATATAGATCAATACAAGGACCTTGATACTCTTTATGGCCACTCTTTTGGATACTCCTTATGTATAAAAATTCACAACAAGTGGCATTGTTTATAAGTAATAAATACTACCTCCTATCCATAATAAACTAGATAACTAATTTAGAAAGATTAAAATATTGGTTAAATTAGTTAATTGTAATAAACGTGTGTTGGTTTTCTTTTCCTTGTATCCAAAAAAAAAAGTGTGTTAATTTACCTAAACTACTATAGTTTATTATATTCATTGAAACTATTCATTGACAGGAACCTTAACAATCAATAAGGATATTTTAAATAAAACATTATAAATTTAGAAAACAAAATAAATTGAGGTATTATATTTTTAACAAAATCAAATACCTCCATTAACTCTTATGTTAAGGAATGGAGGTAGTAGTGTGGTTTGTGTGAGATTAGGAAAATGTTTAATAAGACTAGTTAATTTGGAATTATTAGGATACACTATGAATAAGTTCAAATTAGTCAATAACTTTAGAGCCACGTGGTCCAATTCCATTCTAAGTTTGAAATGGTAAAGTACTACTTCCGGTTCTAATTATAAGATCTTATTTATAGTATGCAAATGATATCCTATAATTAGGACCGGAAGTAGTATCAGATTACCAAAAAAAAAAGTGTGCCAACAAGAGTTGGTCTAATTGTTTAGAAGTTAACTCATAATTCATAAAGTTGTGAGTTCGAATCTCATTACTCTTAAACCCAACTCACTTAAACTTTTCAGTTAAAAAAAGAGGAGAATATTTGGTTACTCTTTGGCATGTAAATAGAATTTATCATGATAACAATGATTATAAAAAATTTGATAATTTCCATTCATACTCGTTATCGCCCACTGGAATTTCGATCTGAGCTTTTCTCACTATTTTTAAATCTTTTTGTTTTTTCTCCTTTTCGTGATTGTGATGGGAAAATTTTATTCCAATATAAATGAATGGATGAAATCTATCTCTTTGTTCTTCTGCTACCGAGGAGAGAGGGAAATCCTTTTGCCTTCCTGTTTTTTGATCTATTGATAAGAATACAATCTTAATTTCAGTTCTTTTTTATTTTTGTGCATATTTAATTAAATCTAAAAACTAACTAATCCCTCAAAACAAAGGTAACAAACCTATGTATAATAATTAAGATCGTATTACATAACATTGTATTCATAGCATTACCATAACAAAAGGAACTGTAATTGAACCAAAAGTACACTTGGTTTCTTCCCTTTTATTCAACTTTTATGGTAGTAACTTTATGAATATCTAACAGAATTCTAATAGAATTTTATAAGCACGGTTATGAAATCTTTATTGATATATGCTTAATTTGTAGTCTATAGATATAAAATTTATTTTAACCTTAATTAATTTTGAGACTCATCTTATGAACATTTTTATAAGAAAAATATTAATAGATTTGCTGAATGATAAAATTATTTTTTTCAATCTTTTCCTCTCCACAATAAAGAATAGGAAGAAAAAAACATATATTATTTGGGTAGAATGCACAATCTCATCATTTGCATATGAGGCGCAATGTGCAAACTAAAGAGGGGGGGGGGGGTGGAGGGAGAAGAAAAAGGGTGTAATTGAAGTAGAGTAGTTGAGTGAAGAAGTGAATGAATGAAAGTGAGAAAATAATGGCCAACCTTATTGGGTCTCTTTGGATGAAAGCTACATAATTATTATGAAGAAGGGAAAAAAAAAGTAGGTGGAGGAAGTGATTGGTTTGAATATGGCCAAAGAAAAAAAAAGCAAAAGAAGCCATCAAATATATTACTTTTCTTATCTTAATTATAAGTTACTTTTATTATATTTTACTAAAACTGATAAAAATCTTAAATCTCATTAGCTCTATCTTAAAATTTAAAAATTTTCAAATATTATCTTTGTTTAATATTTATAATTTTTTTAAGAAAATAACAATTTACATAATAATAAATTAAGAGTAAATTAATACATTCATACTAAAAATTTAATAATACAACTTACAAATAGAATCAAAAAATTATTTCTCTCCTTAATAAATGAGAGCAAGGGGTGACTTCAAATACTTCATCCCATCATTTTCATAAAATATAAATAATCAAGTTTTATATATGCAATTTAATTTTTAGAAACATCCTTATTGGTGGAGGGGGGAAGATTAATCAATGTTTGATGTATGTATGTATATGTGTGTGTGTATGAATAAATATATAAAATGATACTAAAAACTTCAGACATGCTTTTAGTAAATGAATCTCTTATAAACATAAACAAGCTAAAAGAATTCTCTTATATTTTTAAAATTCTCTTATATATTACTTATGGTCTTAATTATAAGAGCTAGTTGACTAATTTCAGGAGATTAAGGAAAGAAGTTAAGTTAATTATTTGTAATAAATATGTGTTGTCTTCCCTAAAATATCCTTACTAATTAAGTGTATTGGCTATAACTACCATTATTAAGAGGATTATCTTAGAAAAAAATACATAAATATGAGAGACAAAGTAGATTGGATTCTTATATTTAGGACCAAAATAAAAATCAAATAAGGTGTTATATTAAGAACCGGAGGTAGTATATAATGTCTCTGATTTTATTTATAAGACCTCGTTTTAGAATATAAACGAGATCTTATAAATAAAACCGTATGTAGCATATGTTAGCAGGGAATATTGGGGGGGGGGATCTCAAGCACCCCATTCCTCTCTTGTTATCAACCCCCGGGGGGGGGTCTCAAGCACCCTATTCCTCTCTTGTTATCAAAAGAGCACAGCAGCATATGGAATGTGGGATACACAAGTAGCATTTCATTGGTTAAATGCCGATAACATTGCATAGTCGCGAACCCGCATCACAATTATTTTGTGCGATCTTCAATCAAAAAATTTCTTTTTATCTCTCATCCCATTTATGTCATTTCTAAAATGTAATTAATTGATGAGACATGGTGCGTTAGTGCACCTCTTTCTGCAACCGTGCAGCGATTAGCAAGCTGGATATCATTTGCATTCAAAACAGTTCATTCCCATTGGAATCTCAAAGTCGGCTCAACTTGAAATCACTAGTCCAGGTATATTTTCTTTGCTAAATTTGTTTTCTTCTGTTTGAGTTACTTCCAATCACTTTAGCTTTTTTCAACACTTGTTATGGCTTATTTAAAATGGTTTATAAGTAGTTTTTTAATCGTACTTTACGTAATATGAGATAAGTATGTGAGAAGAGTTTTTTTTCTATTTATGTGAATGTACTGATTGATCATGAATCCAAACAAACCTGTAATCTTTCTTTTTGTTCGTTTGCTTAAGTTGTCCTTTAAATTCTTTTTTTCTTTCATATAATATCTCCGGTCTTATTTATAAGACTTCATTTATAGTTTACAAGTGATGTGTTATAATTAGGGCCAGAAGTATCATTATTGTGTCTTTTTATTAAAAAGAACAATGTGATTAATTGAGGTCACGTTTAGTATGATTGAACGATTTTTAGGGAAATAAGAATTGAGATGGGAAAGGAAAAATGGGCCTTCTTCTACAAAACCAATTTTGCATATCTGATGTGAATAAAAACATGGGAGAATTACAATGAGGTCCCAAGTAATTAAAAAACAAGTCCCAGAGATTGTCATTCTCACTGTAGGACTTGTTATTACAGGCTGTTCAGGTTGTTACTTGTGACTTTGTAGTGATTGTTTCTCTTATGTGGGACTTGAATGTAATTCTCCCTAAAAACATGTTAAAAATATAGAATTTAAAAAAACAGATTACACAAATATCTGTTTAAAAAAACAGAGAGAAATATTTAGTTTATCATTTCAATTAATGATCGGAAAACGCACTAAAGCTTTTTACCCTTTCCCCTTCCCCTTTTTCACCCCCTCAATTAATTAAACTTGTTTTTTACAGTCACTAAATCCAGCCTCTATTTTATGTGATATCTGTGAATCAAATATCACAATCTTCCTAAAACCTTCTTTGTATTCAATCCATGCACCCTCTCATGAGTCTATTAAAGGTATTGAAAATTAGACCCATCATTAAATTAATTAAGACGATGGTTCAAAAATTAAAGACTTAATTATGGTTGACCTGGGAGAAAAAAGAGACATAAAATTCAGGTTGATGGACTTGTTTCAAAACTCTTAACCGGATTATCCATAGAATCGGTTCACTAATCCCCTAATGTGATTAGTTTACCCGAGTTGGATTTTAATATCATGAGAAAATTAAAATTTCACTCACAGTAAACCAAACTACAAAAAAAAAATGAAAATAATGTGAAGCCCAATTAGTATAAAATCTCACTGTTCAAAGCAAATATATACAATAGTGCATTATTCTGTACTAAAAAAAAAAGGTACAAAATGTGGCCCAAAATAACAAAAAGAACCAAAGGCTCATTCTCAATGGAGGTTTCTCCGTAAGGTTATATCTTAAACCCAATCCAATCATTTGCTTATCGCCCTTTCTCTGATCATCTTCAACCCCATATACCTAATCATAACAAAAAACCCATTGTTGGCAAATATATATAACCCATTATTATCATCACGGCAATTAAAAAAAAAACATTTTTAAAAATAAATAGATTATAAAAATTTACCTTCCTAGCATCATTAAGGTGGCCTGAGGGTTTGTTCCTGGAGATACACCAAACACTGAACCATCCACAGTGCGAAGAGACTCAATCCCCATGACTCTGAGATCGCCGTCCACCACACTCCCCACCACGCATCCGCCGTGGTAGTGCCATATTGTGCTCACCGTCCGGCGACAGAAGTCCTCCATCTGACCAAAGTTGGCCTGATCCATCGGCAATGAGGGCCCCACGAACCTGAATTCTTGGCCCCCTAGCCAGTTTCTGAACTTGAAATCATTCATGGCTCTGCTTCTCAACACCTCGCCGATCTTCCTCGTCCCGTTCACACACCTTTCAACGTCAATAGGGTTGTTGAAGTAATTGAATCTGACGATCGGATTCCTCTTTACGTCCATCGAGGCCAGCCGGAGATGCCCACTTGATACTGGCCCTGCTATCTTCGTCACCAGTGAAGCCACCGTGATGAGAATCGGCGACAATGGCGCGCCGATGAACACAGAGTGAGGGAAAGAGGAAGTGAACGGGACGAGGTTCGAGGATGCTTCTATGTAAGCCCCTGAATCTGTGATTCCCACGACTTGTATCAGAGAGGACTCCAATGGAACCGAAGGGACAATGTTGATCCCATTTCGAGGATTATCGTAGAGATAATGTCCGACGAAGGGAAGATGATGAGCCACCGGAATTCCCCATGAAGATAGATAAGGTCTTGAACCGATCCCACTTAGCAGAAGAAGCTGAGGGCTTCCAATGGCACCGGCACAAAGAATCACCTCGCCATTGTCTCGAGTTATTGCATGGTGGAACCTGCACAGCGATGAAAATCTCAAGCTTCACGGACTGATTAGGTCGTTCTTGCATGATTTAGAAGATGGCGACGGGGTTAGTGTTAATTAATTACCTTCCTAATCGGTCACGGTAAATCACACCAATCGCAGTTTGCTTTGAATCGGCATAGGAAGAAGAAGATGAAGAGGCAAGAAGAACTCTCTCGACGCTTGCGTACACAGCGACTTTGATATTAGAAGCTTTGGCGTATGATAAAAGATCCGCAGAACTGTGTCTTCTTCCTGAGCTATCGAACGTTGATCCTCCGATTTTGGTTCCGATGGAGTGATCTAAACTGAAGCCATTGTAGGGATAAACGCCGGCTTCGAGCAACCCGTCGCGAACCGCCGATTGCCATGTCTTGAGCTGTGGTTTGAAGACAATGGCCTTCTCGACCCAATGGTATGATTCGTTGACGAGCTTGAGGTTCCAAGACAAGCCGGACTTGGCAAAGAAGTCGGCGTCAGCTCGGCTGTAGAAGCCGGCGTTTATGGCGCTACTTCCGCCAAGAACGCGGCCGCGGGCGTTGGGGACACCGTCTTCGGAGGTGAAGGATTCCGCAGGAGAGTCACGAGCGTTGGCGTCGTTAAGGGTAGTTAAGAAGCCGTCTTGGGTCATGACGTTGGGTTTGTCGTTGGGAATGCCGCCACGTTCGAGGACGAGGACGCGATATTTGTAAGACAGAGTGGCGGCGAGGGGGCAGCCGGCGGTACCGCCACCGACGATGATGTAGTCGTAGTAATCTTCCGGTGGGAAGTCGGTGGCGTTGGAGACGAAGCTCAGGTAACTGGGAGGTGGTTCTGACACCGATCAAAACAGAAAACAGTAAAGATCTCAGAAGCTAATTAAAGGTTGAAAAATTTTTCCCGAGAAAATGACAAGGAAAATGGATTACCTGGTTGAGATGATGGAGGTTCTTGAGCACAAGAAGTAAGGATTATCAAGAAAGGGAGATAGAGTAAGGTAATGGTGATACTGATACGTGAAGCCATTTTTCTCGAGAGAGAATTCTCTGAGAAGGAAGAAACAAGACGATGAGGAGAGAGAAAGGCTCTGTTTACAGTTAAATCAGCTGCCTATTGAGTCCAGTAAGCAAAATTCTTGATTTTTAACAAACTTTTTACTTATGATATTTTTTTTTTATCAATTTGTTTTTTTTGGCCAAATTTATCAATTTGTTTTGGAAAAACAGTATTTAGGGAAAAAGTTAATTCATATATTTTGTATATTCGTAAATATAGCATTATCATAAAATTATGTAATGTAAGTGTCTGTATTGTTCGCCTTCAAGAATGAACAATCATCATTTCCTCATTTTCATTATGGTTTTAAAATAGGGAAATGACCCAAAAAAAAAAAACTCATTGAAATTGAAAAAGACAAAATGATTATTCAAATAAGTAAAATGAGTAAGTAGGTATGGGGTATGAATTTGGGATTTGTAAGTTCTAGTAAAATGACTAAAATGCCCCTGAAATGAAAAGAAACAAGTAGGCAAGGGTTTTCATATACCAACACATTGACTAATAAAACATGTTACGAAACTTGTTATGCAAATAGTGACTTTCATTTTACAAGTTGTTATTCTTATTACATGTTTAGTAAAATGATATGCAAAATGATTAAAAATAATTACAAATAAATAAGTTGCAAATCACAAATGGTAAATTTTATTATGTAAGGATTCGTTTCTATTACTTGTTTTGTAATTGTTTGCAAATGGCATAAAATAAGTTGCAAAACTTGTTACAGAAATTGTCACTTTCATTTCGCAAGTTATTATTCCCATTACATTTTTAGTAAAATTGTGTGCAAAAAAATTTAAAATTATTGTAAATAAACAAGTTGCAAATCCCCTAAAGCAAATGGTAACTTTCATTATGCAAATTGTCATTCACATTAGTTGTTTTGTAAAACTATATGCAAATGGCTCAAAATAAGTTGCAAAACTCTTTATATAAATAGTCACTTTTATTTTGCAAGTTGTTGTTCTCGTTACATGTTTAGTAAAATTGTATACAAATGGTTTAGAAATGATTGCAAATAAAGAGGCTGCAAAACACATTATGAAAATTGTTATATTCATTTCAAAAGTTATCAATCACTTCGCAAATGTTGTCAAAAGCTATCTTCATTATATGACACCTAAAGGAAAACATAATTAGCACATGTTATCAATAACTATGCAATAATAATAATTTAATATATTTTTGTAAGCAAATTCCATCTACAATCGTAAGTCAAACATCATAACAATAGTTAGACAATGCATTTGTCTATACAAATGCTATTATCAAACTTCTTTCCCAACACAAAAATTCTTTTCAAAACAATATGTATCTATTCTTCACTTCTTCTCTTGACTCTCTTTTTAATACTGTTCTTTCTTCCTATAAAAAACACAATATCATAGTTATTCATTATGCTATATTTCCTTCACAATAATCTAGTCATTATTAAAAGAAATTAGTCAATTATATTAAGAAGTGTAGTAAATTTCATAACCCGCTGAACTTAATTTGCTTCACAACAGTGAGTCATTGACATAACAAATCTGGTAAGTTCCATTAACAAATGAATTCTATTCTAATAACAAGTCAACTTTCTTGGCTTTATAGAAAAATATCAATACAAAAATGATCATTCACATCCCAAGTGTTGTCATTTCACCACAAACCAACCAAGACTAGTTACTATTTAAGTGACAAAATTTACTGCTCTGGTGATAAAATTTATTATTCATTCTTGAATTATCAAAACAGAGTAGAAAATAAAGACTAACAAGATAACAGACTTTAAGAACAAAATTTTATTAGAAGATAGCAGAAAGTTAACTAATATAAATGAACCCCATTTATAGAGACAAGAAGTCATGGGAAAATGTCATGGAACTAGAAGATTGGTTCCTTAGTTTATTACATTAAAAACAATGAAAAAAATTGAAAGTAATAAATTTCAAAGAGATGCATCAGTGCATGCGCTTAGTATAAACAACATTTAGAAAAAATAGAAACAAAGAAAGTTACCTCTTTTCGTGATGATGGCTCAATGGTTGAAGTTTCTCACAGATGCTCTGCACATTTCTCACTGAAACTATCCTTGATGGTGGCAATGCAAGTGGATGACTTCAGAGAACAACAGCTTTGTAGTTTGGGTGAGTCGACGACTTAGGATAACGAGGGCTTTGCATATTGGGTGAATAGGAAAGTTAGGAGATCGACAGCTTCATAGTTCCGGCGAGACGACGACTTTGGCAATTTTGGAGAAGATGAGTTTAGGCGAGTGAGAAATTTGGCAAACTAGGATAATGAACACTTTCCTTTTCAAAACCTTTAAAAGGCTTTTTAGTCTTTCTACCAAAATTTGAGTATTCTAGATTCATACCTCGTACTCTTCTCATCATTTTATTTTTTTGGATGATCTTTTTGTCCTTTTCAATTTCAGTGAGTATTTTTTAGTCATTTTCCCTTTAAAATAGCTGCATGTCAAATTTTTTTATTTTAAACAAAGTTTATATTTTTCTGGCCACCAAGTAAGGTTCTATCTTTCTTTTCTTTTAATGATAGATAAAAAGTCATAACTAGATTATTAAAGTACCAAAACATATTTGAAATAATCTTCGTTTTCTATACTTAAATTTACCAAAGAAAAAACGAACAACACATTATACATACACAGGCAAGGGACAAGTAACATGAAGTCCTTCAAGTAGGGGTAGACAGGGTATGGAGTTGAAGTTTCAATATGCATTAATAAATTTGCAGATTTAATCATTCATTACATGGTTGGGCTGAAATAAGCTTTTACTAAATTCAATATTTAATATAAGAACTAGTTTAACTTTTAATTTGATTTTAAATATAAGACCATAAGTTATTTTGTCTTTTATATTTATCCATTTTTGTCAAAGTAGTCCTTATAGTAGTTGCACATATTAAATGTTCAATCAAATAGTAGTTTTAGCTAATATATATGATTAGTAAGGGTATTCTAGGAAAGATAAAAACTTATTTATTACAAAATAACTAACTTAACTAATTTTCTTAATATCTCTAAATTAGTCAACTAGATTTTATATTAAGGATTGGAGCTAGTACTATTTTGTTTTAATTGAAATTTAGATAACTTAAGAATTCGAGTTGATCTGACAATCAAGTTCAATTCAAATGGTCAGACTTGTTGTATTCTCATTGGGCAAACCACAAAATGACGTGGTGTATCTAAGAATTTATGATCCATGTGGTAAAATCTCTTTGCAAAATATGAGGTTGATCTTAATCTTTCAGAGGCACAATTGTTATAATTTAGGAAAATCAACCCTTGGGTCTAGTGGCGCCACTGAGGTCACAGGATCACATCTCTGTTTGTGTGTTAATATTTCTATGTATGCTCTTCATTTGACCCTTATAAAGGAAAAGAAAAAGGGAAGAAAATAATAATTTATTAAATTTAAATTTAAATAATTGTATACTTGTATGCAAGCCAATAAGCATAATGACTAATGTCTTACGGGGTGTTTGAAAATACCGAAAAAGTAGTTTTCTGCAAAACGAAACAAACTCCTCCATATATTTGCTTCGTATATTGTAAAAATGCTTTTAAAATTATAGTTTAGTTTTCATCTAAATACCTCTTTAATCAACTAATTGATTTTAAATTTAAATTTAAATAATTGTGAGTTCTATATCCCATTAGGCAAAATAGGGATGGGCGTATGGGCCTATGAAGTCTAGAGGTAAAAAAGAATCCATGATTTTTTTCCCTCATGGTATATCTAATTTCTGAATCAAAGTGGATTTTGTTCTTCTTTTGTTTTTTGTTATTTCCAATGTTTGTCCTTCTACAGAAGCTAGTCTTTCCCTTTTATTTATCTTATTTCTGCAAGAAATAACATAAATAGTTACACGAGCTTCGAGGTAAATTTTCGATGTTCAAATTTTATAATTATATGTTAACTATTTTTGTCACCTCACAAAAGTCAAATCCCAATACTAATTGAGATAAGAAAACGTATGTCTCCCTCTCGCTCCCGTAATTTGCATCATCAGTGAAATAAAGCATAGAATCATCGGATTGCGATCACATCTTCTAGCCGACCTATCATCGTCGAGGAGGTTTCAAGAAAGGAGGTGAGTGTCCCTCAATTCTCTTATCATCAATTTTAAAAATTTCACTTGGATGCATCGTTCTGTCTTACTAAAGCTTTTGATTATGAGGTTTTGAGATATAGCTGAGGATATTGTTGTCGGATTGAACTGGCTGTGTAGAATTCATCAATCCCTCAAACAAAAGAAAGCTGAGATATTGAATCGACGAAACTTTGTTCTATATATTGGGTGTCTGCGTTCTGGAACAAGACTATGCTCACTGATTCTAACATTTTAGTCCTTTTCATTTATCAAATCACACTAATGGGTTAAATTTTAGTGGGTTGAACTCTGACAAGCTGTTAAGGTTTAATACTTGATATTGTTTTTTAGAGGACTGCTAAGTACTCATTTTCAATATTTGTTTTGAAGCACTGATTCTTCACAGGGTTGGGGGGGGGGGGGACAAAGGAGCCAAATTGTGTACTCACATTAGACATGACATAACTAGCTCTTGATTAATGTATCACGTCTAATGTCCCAATATGTCTCGTCGCTTCTTAGATCACTATAGCTACCTGCTACCTCTTGTTGCTACAGTCTGAGCTGCATGTTTGATTAAATGAAAATGTGGTATCTGAGGTTTAGTGGTGTAATAGTTTACTGTTTAGAGCGAATGTTGTTGTTTCACAATAATTTAAGTAGAGTTTATGATTCATGGCTTTGGTGACTATTGCTGGAGCAGGTTTAAGAACCTTTCTTAACTGTTGAGCATGAATCTTAATGATCTCAACAAGGTTTGGGAAATCAAACCCCTAAAGAGAATTGGAGAAGATGAAGCAAGGAAGATTCTTGAAAAGGTAGCTAAACAGGTGCAACCTATAATGAGGAAAAGAAACTGGAAAGTCAAAGTTCTTTCTGAATTCTGGTACTCTCATATCCACCTATCTTCATTTCTTTTAAAATAAAAAAAATTACACTTGCATATTGCTTCTTACTGTCTAAACTAAAGCATAAGAATGCAGTCCTGCCAATCCATCACTTCAAGGCCTGAATATAGGACCAGGTGCAGAGATAAAGCTAAGATTGCGGAGGCCTGACCGTGAATGGGATTTCTTCCCTTATGAACAGATTCTTGACACAATGTTACATGAACTTTGCCATAATGAACATGGTCCTCACAATGCTCAGTTTTATAACCTTTTGGATGAAATCAGGAAGGTAACCTATACTTTGTACTCTTTCTAAAAAGATTTGTTCCTGTCATAGAGATGCAGGGCGGAAGGATGTTGCTCAGATTTATGAAAGGGAATGGAAAGCTTTTTGAGCGGAAGAGTCCTGTCTCCTCTTTTGACTGAGGAGGATCTCTTCTCTTCTGTTTTTTTGTCCTATTCTCTTCTCATCAATAAACTAAATTTCCTTTTAAAAAAATTAATAAAATGAAGAAAAAAACAAACAAACAAACAAACAAACAGTTGGAAGTCATAAATCACAACTGCTGCGTATTTTTAATAGTACATACGAAGCTTAATATTACATGTGCTTAGCATGGGTATGTTTTGACCTTTATATAGTGTTTTATGTCAATAAAGATGCGAAGTATTTATGGCAATATATTTTTTTGCTGCTGTGCATGTATAAGATTTTGGCTGCCTCTCTACATATAGCTGATAAAATTAGTCCATTTTTGCAAGGGTGCATCCACAAACCCAAGCAACAAAAGCAGTTGGGGGAGGTGTGATGGTCCTGAGTTTGTTGTTGCTGCCTTGTGTCGTAAAATATTGTATTTAGTAGACATTACCAAAAAGTTCTTGGTTCCACAAATTATTAGTAACCTGATGCAATCACCAGGGAACTCGTATAGTTGTCTACTTGTCTCTTAATAATTGGTACTGGACACCTGTGTGTACTTAATGCAGATTCCACTATGTAGGAATGTGAAGAACTGATGGCGAAAGGGATTAGTGGTACTGGGCAAGGATTTGACCTTCCTGGGAGACGTTTGGGTGGATTTTCCCGTCAACCACCTTTACCATCACTTCGCCAGGCTGCATTGGCTGCAGCTGAAAGCCGAGCACGTCATGGAGCTTTGTTGCCTTCTGGACCTCAGCGTTTAGGTGGTAACAGTAGCATTAAGTCAGCTTTGAGTCCAGTTCAAGCAGCTGCTATGGCAGCAGAAAGGAGACTGCATGACGACATATGGTGTGGATCAAGGTCTGCGAACGGTGACACACATAACCATGATAATACGACTTTGATTGGACCTTCTGGGAGGCAAGGAATGTCCTGCAGTTCTGATAATGGATCCCTTCAATCTACAATGGACAGGGAAACAGCAGATGATGGAGCAAAATGGCAGTGCAATATCTGCACCTTATTAAATGAGGTCAGTTTGTTTATGTGTGTGTTCTATAAAGTTGTTGGAATGCATATAGTATTTGATGGTTTTAAATTGTTTTTTGAATTGATTTTGTGCTGTTTCTTAACGTTTCTTCTGCATTGTTCTGTGCTCAGTAACAAGGTTGACCCTGTTATTTGGATTTTTTCCATCTGGATCCTCCATCTAGTTTTAGTACACAAAAAGGGATCATGCAAATAAACGGCTCGTGCTTGGCCCTTGGTGCTAACAACGTATAACAAATCTGTCTGGTACTTGTAAAACTTGAGTACATACATTGATGATGGAATGCAGGCAAAGATGTATGCAGTTTATTGGTGGTAAACAAGTGAACAGATGCAGTTTTTTTTCCTGGGGGCTATCACTTGATTATCTCTTTCTTGTCAGATGAAAAAAATGAAAATAATTGATGATAAGAACTTAGAACTACAAAGGCAGCTTTTGAGGTTGGAGAACCTAACTTCTGATGTGAGCAGTCATGTTTCATATGTTGCAAGTGTGTCTCAACAATACATAAAGAATTCTTTCCACAAATTATTTCTATAAGATTGTCTGTTTCTCTTTCAGTTTTATAATGTATTGCTGAAAGACTTGATAGAAATGCAAGGGAGAGTCAGCCAATGTTGCTCACCCTAAAGCATAATTGGGAATGGAAGTTGCTGAGGATCTTTTCTATTCTCCCTCCCTCTCGCCACCCACACCATCATATTGACCAAATCAGTTGTAATTTTAGATGCTTCACCATAGTTTGTTCGATCCTAATCATATATTACCCATCTTTTCAGTTTTACCTCGCAAATTTCATTCCACAAAGCATTGCATTATGTGATTAGTAACAGTTCCTCTGTTGGAATATCTTTAGAAATCATCTTGTGCGTTTTCATGAATGCTGGCACTCTGCATCACTTTCATTGCATTCACAGAAATAAAGTATGATGATGTCTTGGTTTATTGCAGTCAATTGCTCTGGAATGTGAAGCCTGTGGAACACAGAGGAAGAAAAATATCGCCAAGTCCAAGATGTGGTCCTGCAAATTTTGTACACTTGAAAACACGGTTGAGATAGATAGATGCTTAGCTTGTGGAGAATGGAGATATTCATATGGCCCACCTGTCTCCATCCGCGGGCCATATGTTGGCACATGAGTCTGACTGGACATAAGGAAAGAAAGTCAAAGGAACCGATACAAATTATTTGCCTTTCATATGTACATAATTCTAGCATTGATACTCTAGCATATTGAAGAACTGTGTGAATGCAAGGATGTTATCTTAACTGTGTGTATATTGTGGCGACTGAAGCTGTTGGCAGAACATACAAACAATGCAAGTTGTCAAATTGAAATTTGTTCTAGTTGCTTGAGTGGAGTTAAAAGGACTAGTTGTTATCTTTTAGATTTTCTCCAGTCTTCATCTCAGGGATTTGAAGTTCATACGGTTTTAAGGGATTTCTGTTTTGCTTAGTCCCAGATTTCACTCATCAATTAATACAAGTATTGTCTTGTTCTTTTGTATTGTAGAGGAGATTAGTGAAATCCCTTGAACTATATGGAATTTCAACCTCATCTCAGTGGTTACATTTGTCTTGAGGTTCAGATTGAAATCTATTCTTTCCCCCCCCCCCCCATAGAGTCCAGGGTATTTACTGCTGGTAACAATGATTAATTCCCTTATATCATAGATTTCTCGATGGTGTTTTAGTATTGGCCACTAAATTCTCTCCGTACACACTCAGGGGAAGTACATCCTTATTCATATGAAAATGCACCGTGTCATTGAGTATATCATAATGCAAGTTTGAATCTTGGGGGACGAATGGAATAAAAGCTGAAGAAAAGACTGAGTTATTAAATGTAAAAGTCATACCCTTTGAAATGGCATTCTGTATGATTTTTTCAAATGGCATTAGAAATGTGAACGCGGAGGACAGGACGACAAAAGTTGACCTCAGTTTTTTTTTTCCTTTTTTCTTTTTGCCCCTTTCTTTGGCCAGGGTTGACTTGAGTTAAAGAAAAGCACAAGCAGGGGATAATTAATAAAAGTTGAAAGAAAGGTTTCAATCATCCAAATATTTTATTTAAGTATTTGTCTTTCTCTTTTGGAAAGCATGTTGACATGAAGGGTTAGGTCTTAGATAGGAAAATACTGAAAAGTCCCTTGAGGTTTATGTAATTTAAACCTCATCTTAGTGGTTAGATTTATGTTATGGTTCAGATGGAAAGCCATTATGTCATTGGAGGGCAGGTTTAAGTATGGATTATTGAAGGCAACTGGTTTGAGTCATTAAACGTAAAAGTCAAGTGCTTTGAAATGGTATTTTATCTGCTTTTCAAGTGTGAACGCAGAGGAAAAAGACGAAGACAGCTGACTTGGGGCAAAGCAAAGCAAAAAACGAGAATGAAAAATGACAATACCCTTGACCAAAAATATTTGGGCAATTCACACTTGGAGACCAAGTATGAGTAATGATGCTCTTTCTATTCCTAAATAAAAGATAAAATTTCATAGTACTAAAATACAGCCCGTGTGGATTGATCGTATCACTGAATCAATAATCCAATCTATTAATGATCCATTGAGAGTTTTGGGCAGGTTGGTTGAGTTAGATTTTTTTTTTTTACCTTCATTAAATCTAAACCAACATCGTTTTGAATTTAAAAATTAAGAAAAAAAATAGTAGTCCATCTCTATAAAACTTGTGCTTTAATGAGTTTATTTTGTTGAATTTTGTGTATTTTATATATAAATGTTTTATTTACTTGTGGACTAATATATTTTTTATTTAAATATTATTTTAATTATATTTGATTTGACCACAAATTGACCTTAATTTAAACCACTAACCTTTCAATCACTGTTTTTACTTTATTCATTGGTTTGGTTTTCAACATCTTGTAAAATGTCAAAAGTTCTTGAAAATTGCCTTCTAGAATTAATGTTACCCAGGGGTATAAAAAAGATCAATAAACAAAAAATTGACGTCCTTAAATTGCCTTTTAAAATTTTGGGTTTGAAAATTATCATTACCTTTTTTCTCCTTATTTTTGGGGAGACAAAATACTACCTTCAATTCATAATATAAGAACTAATTGGAGATTTAATTTGACATTAACTATAACATTTCAATTTATTTTGTCTTTGATATTTTTTTCATTTTGTTTCAAATAATCCCTATGATGATTGCACATGTTAATGAGTTTTCATAGAAGAGTAAGTTCAATTCATATGATTAATAGGGATATTTTAAGACAGACAACATCTATTTATTATAAAAAAAAAATCTATTTGCCTCTTTTCTATAAAAAAAATCTATTTAGCTCTAATAAATTATATGTCTCTTTCATTTCTTTTTTCTTTCGATTGTCTCTTATCTTTTTCCTTACTCATTCTTTCTCCTGCTCACCCTTTCTATAAGTAAGGGTATATATATTTTGAAAAAAAAAACATTTCTTATACATATATTGGTTTCAACCAATTTTAACCAACTTCTTAATTTACATAATTTAATTTTTTGTCCATATTGTCCTTCACCTAATGGAATGAACTATTGCACCCATCATATTCATGAAGGATCAAGCTCACAACCTCTAACATAAACCAAGGCTTCATAAGGGGGTATTTGGCATTAGTTAAGTCAAAAAGTTGCAACCTACATAATTCGATTATTTGTAACTTACAAAAAGCATCAAAGGAAATATTTTGGTTGAAAAATGTCAATTTTCTATAATATTTGCTTCTCCACGGGATAAGAAAGCGCAAGGAAGCAAACAAAAGGGCAAATATTGGAGGAAAAAAGCATCCATTTTGGTTGGCTCAGAGATGAACACATAAGATGGTTCGAATTAAGAGATTGACTCTTAGAATCATTCCATTCAACTAATGAAGCAAAGGGGAATGACATTTAAAGGAAAATTTGAGGCCAAATGAAAGGTCCACTCTTGTCATTTAGTAACAAAACCGCGGGAAAATGAAACATTCAACGCATGCATAACCAAATTCAACGTTTTCTTAGTTGGATTGAAAGGAATTTATTCCTAAACTATTTTCTCCATTTCTTTTCTAGGCACAGTTATTTTTTCACTAGTGACAATTCTATTTAAAACATTTTTGGATACTAAATATGGGTACTTTTTTTTAGCTCGGACTCAAATTTTAGTTTGTTACGTTATAAGGGACCAACTTCTTTCGTTTCTTAAAATTACAAATAAATGCTAAGGGAGTAACTATACAATATTTAAAGGATGCCCTCCATTAACTATACAATATTTAGACTATTATTTGACCAAAATATAATTATAAAAAAAGCCCCAAAATTATAAATAAGCACCCTAAGAGAATTAATATCAATTAAGTTCCAAAAATTACAAATAAATGCTAAGGGAGTAACGTTATATTTTATCCTTATATAATCATTATTGCGAGCAACAACATTGATAAGCAATTTAAAAAAATTTTATATTTGTTTTAATAATATTATCCGTAAAATATTAGTACTTACTTATTTAATAATTAAGTAAATAATGTGTGTGAATTTGTAAATAATAAAAATATTTAAATTATTAGTTACTCAAGTATTAATGTTTTATTAGACAATATTATTAAAATATATATAATATTTTTAAGGCAAAACTATTTTTTAGTCTTTTAATTTAATATAATGTTTCAGTTTAGTTTTGTTTTTTGTTGCCCACCCAGTCCACCAGAGATCTGCTCCAACTACATCTGGATTCGACCCGCATTGCGCACTTGACTGTGGTGGGTGAGTCTCCAAACGGGGATTTCTGCATACGCTGAGGCTTGAACTCGAGATCTTGCGTAAGCGGTACCAAACCGCTTACCACTTGAACCAACCCCCGTTGGTTCAGTTTAGTTTTTTTAAAACTTAAAAAGCATATTTTTAGTTAGTTAATCTTAATACTGTTAACAAAAAAAATAATGATATTAAAATTTTAAATGTTAATAAAATATTCTCAAATGCTAGCATATTAACTATAATTTTTAAAACAATAATAATTATTATAAAAAATTATTATTTAAGACTAATAATTTTCAATCATGATTATTATAAAAAAATTATTATTTAAGACTGATAATTTTAAGATTAAAATACTAAAAATATATTTTTAAAACTTAAGAATATTTTTTGCCAACTAAAGCTTAAGAAACTAAACTAAAATTTTATATAAAATTAAAAGACCAAATATATACTTTGGTGCTTTTAATTACTTACCAATGTTGTTCCTAATGACTATTCGATGGGTAACTAGTTAAAATGGTATTTAAGTCTTTTACAACGATAAAAAAAAGTAATAGTAATTTCTTGGCATTTATTTGTGAATTTTAAGACTTAATTTGTGTTAATTTTTATATGGTATTTATTTCTAATTTTCAGGGCTTGCAACATTTTTACATCTTTAGGAGTAACAGTGTAATCCTTGATAGTTTAGGATTCTAGTATCTTGAAAAAAAATACTACTTCCCACCTTTAATATAAAAGTTAATTAAATGTTAAATTTAACTTTAAATATGAGATTTTTATTTACTTTATTTCTCAAATTTATATTTTTTTCCTAAAAATATCTCTATTAATTCTACATAATAAGAGGGTTTTAGTAACATGTAATTTCAATGCATGATTTTTTTATCAGAAATTTCAATAACATTATTTAAAAAAGGTAATTTCAAAAAATTAATATATATTTATTGCAAATAATCACTTTAACTCATTTGTTGATATTTGTAAATTATTTATTTAGTTTTTGTATTAATAAACGAATGTAGTTATTTAATGATAAAAACATCTATTAACCCTTAATTCCTTGTGTTACAAGTTGCATATTTTATTTTCTTATATTGAATTATTGATTTAGTTTTGTGAGGTGACATCTAGGAGTAAAATAAACTACTCTTTTACCTTTATTTATAAGACATTTTTAATATATTTTATTATAATTAAGAAAAGTCTTAAACAGTATTTATCTTGCCTTAAAATTTAATAACTTTTCAAATTTTTCTCTTTTTAATATGCTCCATCTGGTTCAAATTATAAGCATCAAATTAACAAAATTATATAACTTAAAAAGTTAGTTAAAATGAGCTCAAGATAAAAATATGTAAAAAATATAATTTTTTTTTTGAACATCCTTAATTCGTTTTTTATGGAGAGTATAGGTATGAGAGAGAATAACTGGAAAAAGATATAAAAGAGAACATGTGAAAAATAGAAGAGGCATAATAAATTACGGATAAAAATAAAAAATACATTAAATAATTAGATAAATAATAAAAAAATTCAAACCATTCAAAGATTTTGATGCTTATATTTTTAAACAGTGGGAGTATTACTTTTAATGAGAAGTTGAAGATGATAACTGTACACAAAACAATACACTAAA